ACAAGGCGTGCTGAGAAGCTTCGCATGGTTTCCGCACATGTGAAGTAGACAGGCAGCGTGTGACCCTGTCCAACCGTCACAATACCCTACTTTGCCAAGGCTATCCTCAAGTTGCACTTGACCTCTATTGACGCAGCTGTTTCAACCTTGTCGAAAACGAACTCCCATCAAGCTTTCGAGCTGTTTGCTTACACCTCCAGTTCGATGCGACCTTTCTACTACATGCAAAACACGATCACATTCCTTTTCCTCCACAGGTTGTCACGGAAGGCAGGAAAGCGGATACTGGGGGGATGCAACACCAAAAGGCAGACTCCTGATAGGTAAGTCGCTCGGATCATCAGATTGGGGCGATGAGACTCGGCTCACATCTGGTCCCTGAACCATAGATGTTGCGCTCAGCATCTGTTGAAACTTGAACGTTGGGCGGCGGTTCAGAAAAGGCCTCAACCTGTGCGCAAGATGGCGTTTGAAGCTCAAAACGGCAGCTTGAGCCTTGACCCTTCAAAAGTTTGCGCTTATATATGCGCCTGCTCTTAATCCGTTGAGTTTTGTTCCATTTTCACGGTCGTGAATGAAGGTCTGCCTATCTGCATTAACAGCTAATGCTGTCCGGCTGACCCTTTGCAGCAAAGCTCTTGATCATGGGCGGAATCGAGAGCAACCCGGGATGGTCATCGTCAAACGAAGCCAGCCCGGAAGGAGAGCGTCCTTCAGCATCAGGAGGAGACGTACCGGCATCTGACGGCGGCGTGGCCGGAGCTCCGCATCCTCGTGATGTGAGCAACCTTTGACGTGTTCCAGTCAACTTCAGGGATGACACTGCTGTGTCGGAACCAGTTGACCAGGCCAGGCAGGCAATTGCCCCGGAAATCAAGAAGTGGGCTGGCAGCCTCTGTCCAAAGGCTTTCTGGGCACGGAGAAGACAGAGGAAAGGGGTCGAGTCAATTTGCACTGGCTTGAAGAATTGACTTTATAAAATCTGAGGAGCAAATTGACAGCCCTGGCATTTCGCTTTCCATACTACGACCTTGGTTTTGATTCAGCGAGCAGGTGTTATATTGACTCCGCGCATGCCATGGTACTCATTCGACCCACACCCCTTGCATGATTACTCTCTTCAAAGCGTATGTATGTTGTTAGGCCGCTTAAAATCATTGAACAAAAGCCTGCAAGGCGGGACCGCCAGAATGTGGAAGCTCCAGAACGTAACTCTCTATTTCTGCTTGCAGGCAGCAGCCGTAACTTCTGACGCCAACGACGCCCTTACAGACATGATCGCACATGCTGAGGCGCAGATGAACCTGCCTGCATCCGACGTGAGCACGAAAAGGCCGCCGGAGCAGGTAAGAGCCCCCTCATCTTCAGTGCACTTTCCTCCACGAGTGGGAGATCCCTTCAAGCTGCGCTTCATGACCAGGCTGCAAAGTTTTGGTCGTTGCTTCAGGTGAGCTGGTCAGATTGTGGGCCTAATCTGCATCATCCAGTTTTACTGAAAAGGGGCATGGTGTGCAGGTGTCGTCAGAAGCGGGACCGTCGAAGAGGAGGAGGAAGAGACTCGTTAAGATCTCAGAACTTGCCAGCGGAGCCTCGGTAGAACTTGCTGCAGGCAGCGTGCCCCAACCCGCTGCTTGCGCTGGCGCAAAGTAAGCACATGTGCCCGGCTTCTAGGTACGCACATGCCTGCCAAGGCGGGCGTCAAAGCTTGCTGGGCAGTTGCTAGGAGGGACCTCCGTGCGCACAGAGTGGTTGTTTTAGTGAACTCGTACATCATGAGAATCTATTGGCTTGATTACAAGTGGGTAATCAACCCTCTAATCCTGCTCTTTTTCTGCTCGGTATTCAGGGAAGCGGAAGAGCTGGAAGAGGACCTCGGTGGATCGTCCGAGCGGGGCGCGGGCAGCCGGCGCGGTAAGCGCAGGGCAATGGAGGAGCGAGTGGTCGCCGACTTCTTTGCAAAACGCAACCAGCAGAGAGATGCTTGGGCGGCCAGAGAGGAGGAGATGTTCGGCCCACCCTCCCCAACGGTGCAACACGACTCTCCTACGGATCTGGAGGCCTTGGAAGCGTGAGGCCCTGCTCTATCCTTGCCTTACCTCACTGCACCTTCTGAATCTGCTACAATTGAGACGTCCTTCAGCATGGGCGAGAAACTGTTTTCAATCGTGGTTCTTAGTCGCATGCTTTGCTCTGGGCTCACGAACCGGTTCGCCTTCGCGCATGCTCTCATATAGCGTTGAAAAACCAGGGCTGGACCGGTTGCTTCTTGCCGCTGCAGCGATGATGCCAATGCTCGAGAAGGGGAGCCGTTCGGGGAGCCGCTTCCAGGGATTGAAGATTTCAACGGTCCCTTCCAAGCGGTAAGGTTGCCTCCGCCCACCTTGATCACATCAGCATCTGTCACCAGAAACGAGATGATTAGGCTTGAGACGTACAAGGTCATGATCAAGGTCACTATCAGGGTCCTTTGATAAGTCTAAGTTCCTCCTGTCAAAGTAAAGTTCGATACCTTATGGATGAGCACTCAAAATGTGATCTGCGCCAAAGAAAGAGAGCCCTGGTGTCCCTGTGCTTTGACTCCATAATCACGAGCAAACTTTGATGAGAGCTTTGAGTGAGAGCTGTGTGTGGCTGACCAGCGATACCTTGGCAAAACTTAGCCTTTGCTTGCCGGTTGTGATTAGGTGCCTCCAAGGGAGCCACGGGTACAAGCCGACCTCCTGTTGCATGGCGCGCCCTTGACTGGGGCTGCTTTGGAGTCGACGACGGCGCCATCCGCTGGAGACATCGGGGTAGTGGTGAGTTTCACCAGAATCTGCGCATCTTTGTAGAACCACTGTGCGCACATGTTGCTAAGCTCACCAGAACAGTGCCACACGCACGCCCCTCATCTGACGCCCAATTATTCGTGGAGTGGTCGTTGGCATCCCGTCCTTCACAGCGGCCAACCCAAGTAGGCTTCGACCTGCTTCCACTTCTGCGAATTCCAGCCTATCATACACACCAGCGACGCTCTGACTGCTGCACTTGCGGATGCTCACCCTAAGCTCACTCGTTTGTCGACCCGTTGGCCTTCAGGTACAGGACGAGGACAGCGAAGCTATGCCATCAACGCCGGTGGCGCCAAAGACTGGTGGGCCGGCGCAGAAGAAGCGACGGTAAGGTTTTTGGCTCAGCTTATTGCTTGTTTTTCTAATTTTTGACACACAAGCTCGACTCGTGTGCCCTCAACGCATTCAGTTGGTGCACCTTAAGGATTGCGGATGGCAAGGGCACCCCTTTGTATAGAGGTGGGGTTCATCAGACTGCCCCAGAGCTTGAGTAGCACGCCAGCCGTCAACGACCAGTGCTGCAGATCCTCAGATATTTTCCCTACTGACCCGACCTCTTCTTTTGCTTCCACAGCAAACGGGCGAATTCGAACCCTGTCCCAGTGGACGAGGCAGCTCGGGCGGCCGGTCGAGCGGCTGTTGAAGCTCATCGCCAAACTCTTGGGGCATTGAGGGCCCCCAGAATGCAGCGCGAGGGGCAAGCCGTACATCAAACCGAGCTGGGCGATTTTGGCGGCCCCCTTTATGCGGCCCCCGTCGTAAGTTGCCTTGAAGAACTTCCTGGCCCCTCTTTTGCAACTGACTGAACTGTGCTACTGTTGGCCCCATGCGATGCTTAAGGTGACGGTTAGGATCAACATCAAGGTTAAGGTGAAGGTTAAGGCGCAAGCGATTGGCTTGTGCGTACACAACCACCCCCTCCCAGACTTTTGACAAACAGCATGCAACGCCCGCGCTTTGTTGTGAAAGATTGCCTGGCAATATGTCTTCCTGGGTTGCTGTCTGGCATGCTGCCATCTTTAGAAACAAGATTTCTGGCATGGTTCTGGTTGCTTATCCAAACCCTCTTTAAATTGCTGCAGGATCTGGTGACTGACGCTCCCATTCCTAACGTTGGAGCCCTGGTTGACCGCCTGCAAGCCACGCGGGACGCCGAGAAGGTGGCCGCGCGAGAGGAGTGGCTGAAACGCTACGGGCGCACGCGACCCCTAGGGGCTCCGCGTGGGACGGGGGATGCCCCGGCCCGCACCATCGACCAGGACCCGAGCCCCTCTTCCCCTCTGCCCTCTCTCGTCCTCCCTTCCCAGGAGGAAGACCCCGCCCTAAGCGCAGCGCAGCCCCCCACAGCAGCCCCCTCTTCACCGGTCGCGGAAGAACGGGCCCCGCCGTCGCCGCCGCCGCCGCCGGCCGACCGGCCCCCCGTCGACGAGGATCCGGGTTTTGTTTCCCTTTCGCAGCCCCATGAGCCCCCCGATCACGCCGGGCACCCACCCTCTCCCCCCCTCAATGACCAGCCCCAGGAGCCCTTCGTCATAGCCCCGCTCCCTGACGAAAATCCACGGCCCGAGGTGGTCCCCGGTCAGCCCCCAGCAGTCGCCCGTTCCCCTTCCCCTGCCCACCAGGAGCAGGCGCCCGTCGACCGGGCGCAAGCGCCCGACTCGCCAAATCAGCCCCCGGCAGCGGAGCCATGTCAGCCCACTGCAGCGGAGCCGTCCGCAGAGCCGTCGTCCGCACTTCCGCCCACAGAGCCGCCCGCGCAGCTGCCTGGGGATCCCCCTCAGGTTGCGTCGGTCGAAGATAGCGGGCCCGGCTGGTGCAAGAAGCTGGAGGAGGCGCTCCGGCAACGGCGGGCAAACGGGCGGGCAATCGTCGTGGCGGAGGATGTGCACGAGGGGGGGGCCAAGCGCTACGGCAGCTTGAAGGATGTCGCTGCCTTGCTGGCGCACCGGAGGTCGCTCGGGCTGTCCGCGCACCTGTACGAGCTCATCCAGGACGATGCCTGCTGGCGCATCTACTTCGACCTGGACCTTTCGCTCCCTACCGAGGACCCGAGCGACTTCAAACGGCGTCTGGGAGCTTTCCACCTGGTCAGGGACCGGTTCCTAACCTCGGTGCTGAACGTCCCCGAGGGTGTGCTCCGTTTCCAAGCTTGCGAGGCGCACGGTCCAGCTCGGCCCCCGAAGCAAGAGTTCAAATTCAGCGTGCACGAGGTGCTGGAGGGTTTTTACCTGAGGGGGCTGCAAGACAGGAGGGCATTCGGGAAGGCCTTCGGGTGCTTCTTGGAGAGTCCCCCGGACGACCTGAAGCCGTGTGTTGAGCTCCTGCGGAAGGACGGTGGATCCGCCTACATCTGGGACGGGTCCATCTACGGGCGCCACCGCTGCTTCCGATTGCTCAAGTCCTCCAAGTTCGGAGACCGTCTTCGCGCCCTCCTCCCCTCCGAGGGCAGCTCCGAGGCAATCGCTGACCACCTAGTCTGCCTCTATTCGGAAGCGGAGCTGGCTGGCTCCACCGAGATCAGCGCCCACCTTCTCGGAGAGTGGGCGACCGAGCCGCGCCAGCCCCCTGTCCCGCCCCGCGTGGGGGCCTTCCGGCAGAGGGCGCTCACCCTCGACAAGGCGAGCGCCTCACAGGGGCCCGGGGAGGACCTCTCCGAGCAGGAGCGGGCCGTCCTCCTCGCCCGCTACCAGGAGGACCACGCAGGGGCCGAGATCGACCGGGTGGTGCAGGAGCGGCCGGGGCTCTTCTTCGTCCACTTCCGGACGCCCGATCCCTCATGCGTCATCGCTGGCAGGCGCCACACGTCCCCCGGCAACCAAAACCCGTACCTGATCTACAAGCGGGACGAGCCGCGCATCGCCCGCTACCAGTGCTTTGCCAACAGCTGCAGGTGAGGCGCCCTTGTAGTGAGCCGAAACATGGAAAGCTCCCGGTATGGCTTGGCCGACAATCTGCACGAGTCGTTCTATACATTAAAGTCAAGAAGGTGGTGCAAATTGTCAAGCTCTTTCACGATTGACCGGCTTCAGCAGCTCGAAAAAGCATCAGGCATGGCCCTAGGCTGTCGATTTGCACAGGGGTGTTTACATTCAAGCCTTTCAAGCGATGCAGATTGTCAAGGTTTTTGACTAAGACCGATATCGGAGAAGCAGCAAGCATGGCTCGGCTGTCAATTTGCACAGGCCGTTCTTTACATCCACCCTTGTGAGTCAGTGCAATTTGTCAGGTT